CCCCGACTTTGGAGAACATTTTCCTGGGTTAAAAAGTAGTCTTATACGACATAAAATACTGTATCATATAAAACAATATAACATTATTATTTTTTATGTTTTTAACAGATTTTATTAATAGCTTTGCAAACAATCAATATAATCCACACAAAATACATTCTATGAGCCTTGGGGGTCAACAGAAAGAGTTTTACAGAGAGGTCATTTATCCTGGAATAGGGGAAACACTCAGAGTTTAAGGTGTCATCTCATTCCATGGCAGCTGGTGGAACTGAGTCCAGAATGTCTCTGCAAAAGATAGTCTGATAGGTTGGAAGCCCAGTATTGTTCATGTTGTTATTACTATATTCAATAAAAACAGACCAATCCTCAAAAAATGTGTGTGCCTTTTTTTGTCCATTGCAAAACTTGAAGGTATAGGAGTGTTTTTCTGACAACCATGTGTCCCAAATCCTCTTCCATCAGTTGATCAGTTGAACATTTCCTGTTTTTCAACATCTCACGATTTCAGCTCTGGCCGCTGAGATGAGGAATGTGAAAAGTTTTCAATTTTTCAGGTGGCTATTGTCCTTGCTGTAAATCGATAGCATTAGAAGACCTGGGCAAAATCATACAAGTTGTTTTACAATATCAGAAATTTGGGTTAAAATAACACTCCAGAAAACTCTAACCTTGGGACAATCCGACCACATGTATAAATAGGACCCAAGAGTCTTACAACCTCGCCAGCATTTTGGGGAGGCATCTTTTGCTATTTTTCATAATCTTATGGTGTTAAATACCATCTGTATATAGCCTTTAAGGTTTCCTCCCTCATCAATGCTGACCGTGATTTGTATGGAGGGCAAGTCCAAATGCGTAAAACAGGTGGTTTCAGAGATATCCATGTTTATATCAGATTGCCAAATTATCCTGGCAGGCTGACTCATGCCATAGGTGGATTGTATTAGATTTTTATATATTATGGCTGTCCCACCTATAGATCTTTGTCCTTTTGCTATACGAATGTGCTCATAAAAGGTCAAGGGACGGGGGCAAATTCCTTTATCAATTTTTGCAAAGGAGAGCACTTGCAGTGCTTAGAACCAGGAGGGTTTGGCGTGTCCCAAAGTATTGAGCAAATTATCTGTCGTTTTGAGCTTTCCATGTTCAAATAAATCCATAATTCTATATAGGCCACACACCTTCCAACATCTGAATTGAGCTAATTTATGCACTTCATAAAAATGCGAGTGTAATAGGAAAGGGCAAATAGGGGAAGGATCAGCAGCTAGTATGTCAACCCACTGCTTCCAAATAAGGAGAGAGTTGTAGAGAAAGTGGTTTCGAATCTCCTTCAACACCCTTCGTGTCCTTATAGAGAAAAGAAACTTAAGTTCAGCCAAACTATAACTATCTAGTTCAATGGATACCCACTTGGTGGAATATTGACAAGTTGGGAGAGATGGTTTAGTTGGAAGGCATGATAATAGAGCTTGACATCTGGGATTGCCAATCCTCCTTCCCCAGTGTTAGTATATCTAACCGATTTAGGAAATTTGGATCTTTTCTGTTGAATATATAGTCATTAATCATCTTTTGCCAGAATTTGAATTCAAGAGAAGATGGACAAATAGGTATAGACTGGAATAGAACAAATAAGCGTGGGACAAGAAACATCTTTGCAATGGCAATTCTCCCAAGAATGGAGAGGTTTAAGTATTTCCACTCCCTTATTTTTACTTTCATCCATTTAGTGGCAGGGTTATAGTTCCTGGGCACAAACTGAAATAAATCTTTTGTTTCTATGTGAATCCAGAAAGATGTTTCTATGTGAATCCAGAGGGGCATAGTTGTAATCCAGAATCTTTTATTAACTTGTCCTGGTCTGAAGGTGGAGCATCCAGATACATCAGTTTCATTTTTTGTTAACTGATCTTAAGCCCTGAGTGTTTCCCAAAGGTGTCCAATGTCTTTTTTATTTCGGGGAATGATGTTTCAGGTTTTTTTACTGCAAGCAGAATGTCATCCGCGTACAGCATTATTTTGCGATGGTGGCCATT